ATTTGTATTGAAAACCTTTTTGTAAACTTTTTAATGAAAATCGGGTTGTTTTGAAAAATTTAAATTGGTTGTATTTTTCGGATGTTACAAATCTGAGAAAAACACAACCTTGCTTAGTTTGAGGGACGCTACGTTATAATGCATTTGTGACCCCCTTTATTCTAGTGAAATCATGAGACAAAAACACAACCTCGCTTAGTTTGAGGGACGCTATATGTTTAGCATCGTGTACTTGAAATGTATCCACGAAAGCTCAAGCAGTCATTGCACACAAGACTAATGCCTTTAACCAATACAGGATGAAGTTAAATTCCATTGCTTAAGCATATGTTTTTTTAGGTTTTTAGTTTTGACTGGAAAAAGTGTGTTGAAAAAAAGAAAAAAAAAGAAAAAAAAAAGTTGAAAAAAAAGAGTGCAATGAAATGTTCGAGTAAAGAATCTACAAAGCTATGAAGACAAAGAAGAATATCATGAGGAAAAGCTACAAAGTATAAAAGATTCAATCAAAAGTTGTATTTGTCTTTTATTTGTAATTTTCTTTTCTAGGTTATTTTATCGTATGTATGCTTGGGGATTTAACCAAAAATGACTTGAGGTTAAGAAAGTTTTATGGGGATGGATTCGGAGGATGCATAAAATGAGTGTTGTTCAAAAGAAGTGGGCGAGTGTTTATGAGGATTGTAAGTATTTAGAATTGAGGGGGGTCCTTAGGAAGAATTTTAGACACAAATGCATCCGTTATGGTCTTGGCATAATGGTTGGGTTCGATTGGGATTGTCTTATGTGGTATTAGTGTGCTGAAATTCAGTTTTTCTTCGGGGCAAGCAAAAGTCAAGTGTGGGGTATTTTGATATGGGCATATTTAGTTATAAAATTCATGCATTATCTTAATACTTTATGTTGTTTTATCTCATTTATTGAACAAAAGGTGCTTATTAGCTTAAATATTTCATTTTCAGCAATAAAGACATGCTCAGAAGAAAAGGAAGTGGAATTGGCGATTGGAAGCTTGGATCTTCGATTTTGAAGAAAGAAGGGTGTTGCTGGACAGCTTGACCCCTTGTCAGTGTTTTGGCCATATCTTATGAACCGTAATTCCGATTGACAAGATTCAAAATGATCTGAAAACTAGACACAATTTCGGACGACGTTAGTGTTTTGAGAAAATGTTAATTCCAAGAGAACTATATGAGTTGGGCGTAAAATCAACGTGTTAGTCAGAATGTTCCCGATTCGAAGATGACTTGCCGTACACGTTGTATATGCGGATTATCGAAAAAACTCGACGAGTTGGTGGTGAAAGCTCGTCGAGTTGGCCCTGTTTTTCAGAATTTATATATAGAAACACGTCTCATTCGAACCCTATCTTTAGTTAGAGGCTAGTTACAATTATTGAAGACCATAAGGGTTCTTGAAGCTTTAGTTTTCGGGATTGCAAAATTTAGAAGAGAATCAAAGGAAAATAATCATTCCTCTTTTCTTAATATTTTTTTGAACCATGTTTGAATCATTAGATTTTGAGTTTAGGTTATTAATTGCTTTAGATATGAGCTAAAAGCTTTTTACTTCTATTTGGATGAGATGATCTTATGAACATGTTTGATTGAGTGGTTGCATTAATATTAATGTGGTTATTATCTTATTAAGCTTGTTAAAGATTCTCATGTATTGATGATAAATATTTTCTGTTAATAAGTGAGTTCACTACTAGAAAAAAAGCCTTTTACGACGCTCATTGCGCATCGTAAAAGGCTCAGACGACACGCAAATGCGCATCAAGGAAGGCCCTGTCATAAAGAGAGATGACACGCTTTTGCGCGTCGTCTATAAACGACACGCATTTACGATGCTCATTTACGACGCGCGTTTACGACACGCAATGCGTATCAAGGAAGGCCCTGTCATAAAGGAAGATGACGCACATTTGCGTGTCGTAACCTTACGACGCGCGTGTTTATGACACGCAATGCGTATCAAAGAAGCCCCTGTCAAGAAAGGTCATGTCATAAATGAAGATGACACACATTTTTACGTATCGTAATTTTAAATGTTTAAAAAAAAGTATTATTTATAGATTTACTAATTTTCAAATTAAATTTGCATTTAATGTCTCATAACAAAAAATAAAATACTATACAAAAAATACAATCCATTGCATAAAATTTAATGTCATACAAATAGTCAATCCATGGAAAGATAAAACAAATCAATAGAAATTGTTTTCTCCCTATACATGATTATCACATACTAAATAAGAAACTTTATTTCATATTCATAAATATGATTACATTATTCATTAAAAAAACATATACCTACATCTTCGCCTAAAATGTTATTACATGATGCAAGTTGGCCACTTCATTGATGGATCACCAAGAGGAAGACCAACAACTGCCCTAAAATGTTCCATGATGTGTCCATACTCATGTCCTGTAACTTTAAACATTTAATAAAGTAAAATACCTCCTAAAAATAAAATTGCATAAGAAACAAGACATCATAATGAGAAATTACAAGCATGAATGGAAGAAGTACACTATAAATTTGTTTTACCAAGAGTGGCATGGATGATCAGGTGCTACAAGATTATCCAAGCTGCCAAACAAAAGCCAAAACACTGGAAAAAGTTGACATAGAAAAATGTAGCATGCTTCTTTTGAAGGATTTGGCAGTGCCTGCAGATAGCTCAGAGGCAAAATCTTGACATAGAAAAATGTAGCATGCTTCTTTTGAAGTGTGACATAGCTTAGGGGCAAAAAGCTAATTTGACAGAGAAACATGATTATCTTACCATGTATGAGCAGAAGGCAAACGATAAGAGCTTCCATAAACTTTGTGAATCTGGATGGTAGTGCTACTCTTTGGAGTAGCTTGAAATCCATTCCCAAATCCAGTCGTCACCTCCTTTCAGACAACCAATAAACATGTTCGTATCAGAAACAACTAATAAACCATGTTAATTCTTCAAGAAAATTTAAATAAATACACAAAGCATTTGGACAATTTTATATAAAATGTAGCTATTTGGAATTTCGACAGCCAAGCAAGCTCTCTTATAAAGGAGGTTACTCATTTCTAGAAGGGACCTTGAAGATTCCTCCTTGTCTTACAGATAAAGGAAATGTAAGAAAAAAAATTAAGCCTTACAAAGTATATGGACAATTTTATACAAAATTCTATTGAAACAGATAGAAACTTGGGAGTATTTATATTAGGTCATATCCTAAGAAGGCCCATAAACAAACAATCCTTAATTGTTTTCTAGAGTGTGGTATTTTGTTATTAACATGGAAGGCCCATAAACATCTATTATACATGTCAAGTCTATCTGTTCCACCCAACAGCAACAACTTTGGGACAGGAGATGACAAAAAAATTTCCGAGAGGCCTTCATACCTGAAATTTTTTTTATTTACAAAAATAGAAAGTTAAACATAATAAAAAAAATTCCTTCAATGACTACGAATATCAAAGAGTTAATTTTTACCATCCTCTCCAATATTGTTTTGTTTCCTCCAATCGTGCTCTATGTCGATAGTTGTACATACAACAGCAAGATCAATCAATTTGCACAAAAGGAATTCAATATATTTGTAAAAATATTTACAAGGGAGTTGAATTACTAATCTATTAACTTTTGTTTTTAAATTCCAACAAATAATTTACAAGAATCAAGATATGTTGTATAAAAATTAGGAATGACAAAAGAAAAAAAAAATTAGTTTTCAAAAAATAAGAAACCTAAAAACTTACCACTGCTGTGAGTCATCATACTTTATAGTCCCGGGAATCGATATTCGAGCAGAATCGATGTTTCTTAAAGGGCCTGATCTCACATTCCACTCAATCTATAACTATTTACAAATTACAATTCAAATTTTATATATAAAAAAATTAACAGTTTTGTACATTATATAGATATATGAAATAAGTGAAGTCAAAAGGCTGATTTTACAGAAAGGTTAAAATGGTCATTCACTAACATCCAAATGATTAATCTTGACACAATCATAGGAGAAATTTGTACCTTCATCATTCGACCTGCAATCTACAATTTTTCATTTAAACTCTATGCAGCTCTAGCATCTTCAAGGCGTGCAAACTGAATAGTAACACAAAATTTATATATATGATGGTCAAAGTTGACAAAATAGCATTTTTCACTTGCCATGGGAATCGGTCGGCTATGATTCGGATCAGAGGCCTGGAATCATTAAGGTAGAAATTAAATCAAATATGATGCCACATCACTGTTAAGTCTATAGTCAAAAGTTAAAAAAGGTCAAATAAGTTATATTTTACCTTATTTCATATAAATGAAACATGGGTGGCAAAACCTATTCAAAAAAAAGTTTAAAGTACCTAGGTGGAACAAACTTGAGACTTGGTTACTATATTATGACATTAATCCCTTTATGTAGAAATAAAGTTGGCACAACCAAAAGAAGGGTAGTATTATACTATTATAGATCATAAAAAGTATATCAACAAACAAAAAAATGACATGTGAATATGTGATGGCTAAAGAAAACAAGAAAACATTGTATTTTGCTGTTTGGTATATTAAGCTTTGTTTATATGTAAAGTTCAATAAATAAGAATCTACTACTAATTCTATGAACATCCACGTAGTTGTAAGCCTGTAATTGCAGAATAAGTAGATAAAAGAAGAAGATGAATCCAGAAACATAAGCAAACAAAGGAACACAGTTTGGCTTAAGAGATGGATATGAAGATTTTGACAGAATAGATTCCAAATTGTTAGATATATATTATATTTTTAACCTGCATATTAAATGCCACCATCTGAGCTCCATGCACCCACCCAATCAGTGGGTTGTAGTTAGATGAGTCAACTCGTATCCCTTTAGGATACACCCTCTGAGCATTCCTCTGGGTAAACCTATAGCAAGCTAGTTTTTAGCAAGTTTTCAATTTGAAAATGTTTATAAAAAATTAGGCAATACCTGACAATTGGAGAAGAGTGATTGAAGAAGATAATGAATTTGGAAACTATTCATAGTGGAGACTATTTACTTCTAGCTGGTATATATGCATCAGTTGGTAGATTAGAAGATGCATTTAGGGTAAGAAGAGAGATGAAAGAAAAGGGTGTTATTAAAAAGACTCCAGGTTGTAGCTCAATTGAAGTCAATGGTGTCATTCATGAGTTTGTTGCTGAAGATGATGTGAATTTTGAGTCTGAGAAAATATATGCAGCTACTGAAAAGATGATGAAGAAGATAAAGTTGGTTGGTTATGTGATGAATATAGAAGATGCAAGATTGGAGGCAGATAAATATCATAAAGAAAAATCGGTTTTTCATCATAGTGAGAAATTGGCAATGATTCCTAACCCGTTTTGAATTATAAAACTTTTAATGAAAAATGATCTCTATTAAATCCTATAATTAATTTAATTTATAATGTTCTACAGAAAACTTGGTGTTAACAAAAGATCAAAGAACACTAAAACTTGTAGATTTTGGATTAGCAAGAGAAGAGACAGTTACAGAGATGATGATAGCTGAAATAGGGACATATCGTTGGATGGCTCCAGAGGTAATTTTTTTAATCTTTTTTTTTCTTTTTTATCAAAGATAAAGATTTTTAAATGTTTCTTTTTTAATAGTTATATGGCACTGTGACACTAAGGCAAGGACGTGATGAAAAAACGAAACCATGCAACAGAACTTGCAAGACTCCCACATGTGAGATGAGGGAACTACAAACAAAACCATGCACTAAGAGCTCCAGCATAAGAAACGCCAAACAAAAACCATGGATTTTCAAAATAAACCTGATAATTAAAAAAAAAAGAATGTTACTGGCTAGAAAGGGAAGCTTTCTCCAATCTGGATTTAAACAAAGTGGCATTAGAAATATTGACACATGGAGATTAATTATAAATTCATAAATTCAAAAAAAGAATGTTACTGGCTAGAAAAGGAAGCTTTCTCCAATCTGTGACATCATTATATGACTCCTCAATAGACTGCTCTTTCTGTATTAGATCCAATTCAATTTCAGCCTCTTCAATTTCCTGCCACACATCAATCAATGCCTCTTATTATTTTATTTTATTTTTATTTTATAAAACAAAATATTGTAATGTTAGAACTTACCATAAGTTTTTCATCAGTGTTTTTCGAAAAGAAATCAAAGTATGATTGTGTTCCATGTTCTCTCCAACTTCCAGAATGGCAGCCATAACCAAGGAATTGCTAACAATTCTATTTCATACGGAAAAATACATGAAATGTGGGATGGGATGCTAGGTTGATTCATACCCTTGATACAGTTAATTTTATCCTTCATTGTCCCACCTTGCAACTATAAAGAAGCATAAATAATAGTTTAGTAGTAAATTTGTACACATTTATAAAAGTTTAGTGTTGAGAATTGTTAAGAATCATTATTATTTAGGAAAAGAAAAGAAACAGGATAAGTTTTTTTAAATACTATTATTATTTATCCATTCCAGAGAACACTTAATCTGTATGCTATCATACTTAAGAAAGTGAATGACCATTTTACCCTTGTATTTGCAAAACTACTAAATCTAATAGAAACATGGGTAGAATGGGAAAATGCAACATCTTAATTCATAGAGTGAGTGACACCCATTACGACATTGCTAAAGAAAGTAAATGAAGTGTCTGAATGTGATTAAATGACCATTTTACCCTTGCATTCATAAAACAATAGTGCTACTATTAGCTACATGATGCTAAATGTATTCAAGTAAAAAAGAAACGGGCATTTATAAAAGAATAGTGCTACTATTATCTACATTATCAAAATTCAATTGTAAACTCAAAATTAAAAAAAATGTTCAAATCAGATAGGGCATGATTTACATGAATATACACGAAGAAGAAAGATAGAGAATGCAGAAACCATACCATGAGCTCCTGACCACCAATACTTAATTTACTCAGAAGCCTTAAAGCACGCATAACTCCTTCAACATTCCTAAATTCACAAAAACCAAAGCCCTTCAAATCCCCAGTAGTGGGATCTGGTACATGTTTCCAACTTTTAACAGGCCCACAGAGCTTTAGAAGAGATAAATGTGTAAAAAGTCCAAGAACATTGGGCAATAAGATCTATTTCCAGTAAAGATGTGAGAAAAAGAGGAACTTACCTAAAAAAAGGGAGAGCATGAACTCATTGTCCATTGATGATGCTATCTTGCCAACATAAACTGTGGTCATTGGCTTTTCAGCTGGAGTTATTGTATTGATGGGTCGCCTAATGATTGTAGGGCCCACTGGACCCCGTATAGCCATCATTGGTGGGCGTGCTAATGATGGAATGACTCCCACTACTCCAATTGGCCTTTGAGGATATGCTGGTTGCAACATTTGTGAATATGGAGAGGCATAACGGAGAATCCCTGCAAAAATAAGACAAAAATACTATTACAAAAAAGAGAGATCAAATAGTGAAAGTATCACAGCAAAATTCAAACTTATCGCACATATTTTCATCATTGACATATATAACTATATACCAAAAACTCAGATCTGATGTGAAGTTAAAAAAAGGAAATTTTAACTGAATTGAAAATTAAAACCTGAAGTTCTGTAATGAAGCTAATGCTCTGTTCCATGGAAGGCTCGTGGAAGGTCAATGAATGATTTGATTGTTCCACTTCCATAACTCTCTGTCTCTAGCTGAACCACGAGTTTAAAACAACAAATTTTGGGGAAATTCAAGAAGAAGTGATCATTTGATATCAACAAAAGAACCCTAGCTTTAGTTTACTCTCTACTTTACTAGATACATGTAGAGAAAGATTGGGTGTGCAATGGATTCCAAGATTTAACTAACTTACTGATTATAATAATATATATTTTGGTTCAAACATTTAGTCAAACACCTGGTGTGCATAAAAAAAATCAGGTACTTATATCATAAAATATCAATAATTCCATGAAAAGATTTGAGAAAGGGTAGAAGGGCACAAAAATCATCCAAAAAGAAGGACCAGTTGTACATGAAATAGGTAACTATGGTTGAAAAAAGAAGAATTACCTTTGTAATATGCCTACTATGCAAATGAAATACACTCCTTTAATTTTGAAGTCTCCAGAATCGACATGAGGTCAAGATGACCTGAAGCAACCAGGAAACTATCATACTACATGATGGAGGCATGCAGAAGTAAGCAGGATGGCAACATCGGGAGACACGACACTGCCAACAAGGAGAACCCATAGAAGGGAAGAGACAAGAAAAGGGCACTGTATCGTTCTTCTGCTTGTTTCTGTTGTATAAGTAAAATCAAGATTGATAGAAGATTATAAAAAATTGGGATGAGAGAAGAAAGAAAACATACCTTAATCCGTACGAGGTGGGTTGAATCCGAACTCCTCAGACTTTGTAGAGAGAACTCATGTAGTAATGCCCTAAATCACCGGTTCTCTAAGAGTAAGAAAAATAGTGTGATTCTGATGGGAACCTTAGATTTCTATCGATTCTTTCAAGTTTCAATCAAAAAATGAGAAAGAGTTAGGGAAATCAAGAATGGAATGCTCACGATCATTGGGAAGATGAAAGATAGAAAGAAGGTAGAAAAGAAGAAGGCGGGTCTTCAAAATTTTGGAGATTTCATTTCCCCCCGTTAATAGGAGAACGCGTTTCATTAAAATTATAAAGCGACAGTCACAGAGGACGCGCGATTAAAATAAAGCACCCTCCGTGTTTTTTTAATTTTTTCTTGGGACACTAATTTAAGGGCACGCAATAGTGCGTGACTTAAATCCTTAAATTTTTTGAAGAGATGACACTCTTTTAAGGTCACTCTTATTTGCGTAACATAAATCATTGCGTGTCGTGGTTTGCGCGTCGTAAAAGGGTCTTTTTCTTGTAGTGGTTATTAAGTTGCATGAACATCTTCTTGATTACTTGATTCATATAGTTTTGTGAATACAAGATTGTATGCCTAGGAATAATGAATATGAAACTAGGGTTAACTAGGAAATATGTAAATCAATGTGTGAGCATGTATGATGAACAACCATATATGAGTTGATTGAATTGAACAAATTTGATTAGCTATTATTACAAGTCTTACTTGATACAAACTAAACACTAGGAAACTTGTTAGTTTAATTACTTGATCAATGTTTGAATTAACTTGTCTACTAAAGGATTGGTAATAATTAACATGAATCCAATCACATTAGGAATCGGTAACCATTCACATATTGATCTGTTTCACTTGCCATGAAATCAACCCTAGGAATAAGTGAATCTAATCTGAACAGAAGTCTCTTTTATCATTGAATTTAGTTTTCCTTTCTTGTTCTTCTTAATGGTTAATTATATTTGTTTAAGTGTTAATTGATTGTTTAAGTTTACAGTCTTGCAAAACTAGAGAAATCCCCTTCTTTTATTAATCGTTTTAATTAGATAATATTAGTATTTAATTTAATTATCATTGTTTCTTGTCTTCGATACCCTACTTACCTGAACTAAACTGATAATCGATAGGTACACTGCCTTTCGTGTGTTTGTATCTGTGTTTAAGTTAGTAGGATTAAAACTAGTTTGTTTCATACACATCAATTTTGTGCTTGTGGGGCTCCCGAGTTCTTCGGGAAGAAGGACCCTACTGCTAGCAGGAGGTGGTTATCAGACATGATGAATGCCTTTAGATAAGCTTATTCCATGAGGGGTAGAAGTCCAGATTCACATCGTGTCTTTTGAAAGAAAGAGCTCGTGACTAGTGGGAGGAGGTAGATTTCTCTTTGTGAGGCGAGGCCATTGAGACGATGACTTGGGATGAGTTTGTGACCCGATTCAAGGTGGAGTTTGCACCAGCTATCGAGATGCAGCAGTTGGTGAGGGATTTTCAGGACCTTCGCCAGACGATTGAGACTGTGGCGGAGATCACCGCCAAATATAGGGAGACGATCTTATTGGTTCTGCAGTATGCTGCAGATGAGGAGTTAAAGAAGACTAGGTACCATGATATGAAGCAAGATGATATTAGGGAATTTTTGAGGATGTCCATTTACAAGACCTCGGAGGACATAATTGCTAGAGCTCAAGAGTGGGAGATTGAGTTGCAGCTTAGGCTAAAGCACAAACCAGAGCAGGTTTAGTTCGCAGTGGGCCATGAAAAGAGGCCCAAGACTCAGTATTTGCGATTGGGAGGCCATCAGGGTCGGGGCTGTTGTGCCAAGTGTAGGAGGACTCACGAGGGGATCTGTTGTGAGAAAGGAAAAGGGTGTTTCAGTTGCGGTCAGAGTGGTCATTGTAGTAGGGATTAACCTCAAGGCTTGATTCCGATGTGATTTCACTGCAATCAAGTGGGCCACAAGAAGACTGGTTATCCAAGGTTGATGAGTGGAGCAGTGAGATCACATGCTCTAGTTACATTGATGATTACTGATGGCCATGAGGACAGGGCGAAGGCTCCTATGGGGAGGAGCTGAGTATGTCAGTTGTAGGTTGAGGAGACTCGAGTTCGACTAGATGCTATCGTGGATATGTTTCATTTTCATTTTCTTCATGCCTTATTTTATATATATATATATATATATATATATATATTCTTTTGATCATGTGTTTGTATGTGTAGTACATTATGTTCGGTTTAGTTAGTCCCCACCTAAGAATCGTATTTTCTTTATTATTTCCTGCTTATTATTGTTGAAGGTTCGTATTATGCAATTTTGCATACCGAGAGTCATGATTGGAGCACATCTTGTTGATCTGGACTTAGGTCATCAGCCATTATTAGTGTGGGCCCTTGGTAGGAGTGAGCTAGGGGTCCTGCTCGGAGGATCAACTGTCGGTTTCAGCACAAGTGGTTAGAGGAAGTTGTAGTGTAAGTTTGTTTGATTATTAGAAATCAAGATGGTTGAGGAGTGTAAGGGATTGGTCAGAACGCGAGTGTAGGGTGAGTTGCAGCAAGTTTCATGTTTTTAGGGTTATGAGTGTGGTCCTCACACCAAAAGCTTTTAGGAAAAGATCTCATGGAAGCTGGTTTCCCCTCATGGGACAACCAAGTCAAAGTTCAGAGGTGTTTTTGTCGTGCAGGTTGGATTTCAGCTGATTGTTGATTAGTTGTTTTATCCAGTCGCTACCGTTAGTATGGTAAGAGCGGTAGTCGCCTATGAGTCATGGGTGCTGGTGATGGTTTAGTCGCATGGATTTTTTCATATGTTGGGATTGTCAAGAGAATTTAAATTGTATATCTTGGAGATGCTTTTAGTGCATCGATCTTTCAACGAGTGATTTGTTCAATCCGTGAACTGTCCGTTCTGATAAAGGGTTTATTCGTTCTTTGTCGTCTGTTGAGGTGGCTCAAGATTTGGAATTATATCACGAGAAAGTGCTTTGGGTGCAACATTGTCTTCCTACTTGGGTAACAAAGTGTTTAAAATGGTATGGGGTGTGGGTACCCTAGCTTGATGGTCTTTGAATCTTAGCTCACGTGAACTTTGGATGATAGGAGTGGAGTAGTAACGTTGTGAGATGGTAGGAAATCCATCGGTATGAGGATGACAGTGTACAAAAGAATCCAAATAGGGGAGAGCCATGTGGATTTATGGAAACTTTTATAGGCGTGAATCAAGGAGGAGTTCCATATCATAGGCAAGAGGAGAGCCAGTTTTGGTGGTGGTATGAGTCGAGGGTCAGGTGAGGATCAATGTTCACTGTTCAACTATAATCTAGAAGAAAATTGTTAAGGACTCATAACATTTTTTCTGAGGACGTGAAGCATCGGTAGTAGCTCTTGGTGGGTTCGTGACTAGGTTTAGGGTGACGGTTGTGTTCGAATCCCTCTTCTTATTCTTGTCCGATGAAGGCTTTGGGGTTCGAAACATGATTTGAACACTTGTTGGGTTTATAAAGATGGAAGTACATGGATCATGTTGATTTTTGTATCAACATTCTGGATTACTTAGTAAGATATGTTGGATTAGTGTCTAAGCCCATAACTATATTTGGTATGTACTTGACCCGGTTGTGCATGATCCTTTTGGGTTGCCTTCATCAAAGCAACTTGACAAGGTAATTTAAGAAAAGAGAGAGGATATTATATTTTATTAATATATTATAAGAATAATATATTAAAGGAGAAATCATATTTATTTAATTGATATTAGTCATAAATTAATTAGGAATTAATTTGGTGACTAAAAGAGATTAATTAAATAAAGGGGCATAAACTATCAAATGTATGATAGTTGAGTTTTGGGCAAGGAAACCTAATAGACTAAAGGGGGAATGAAATTATGATGGGGATCCATCATATTTTCATCCAAGGCCTTATTCCAGAAGGTTCCTTGGGCTGCCTGGTGGCTAAGCTGTCCATTAGGGTTTAGATTGAAACCTTAGCAGCCTA